AAAAAAAAAAAAGACTATGTAACCTTGGGCAGGTTACTTAACCTCTCAGTTTCCTCATCTGTAAAAAGGGATGACTGCCACAGGATCTTCATCAGAATTAAATGAGTAAATACAGGGGCGCCTGGGTGGCGCAGTCGGTTAAGCGTCCGACTTCAGCCAGGTCACGATCTCGCGGTCTGTGAGTTCGAGCCCCGCGTCAGGCTCTGGGCTGATGGCTCAGAGCCTGGAGCCTGTTTCCGATTCTGTGTCTCCCTCTCTCTCTGCCCCTTCCCCGTTCATGCTCTGTCTCTCTCTGTCCCAAAAAAATAAATAAACGTTGAAAAAAAAAATTAAAAAAAAAAATACACATTAAGTGTTTAGAGCAGTGTCAGGCATACTGCCAAATAAATACAGTTGCCAAATAAAATACAAAATGCCTAGTGAAATTTGAATTTCAGATCAATGACCGCATTTATACTTTAGGTACGTACCAAGTATCTCAGGGGACATGTACCAAAAAAAATAGCAGTTGTTATGTGCAATGCAAATTTAACTGAGCATCCTGATTGTACATATGTAGCTAAAGCTGGCAACCATACATATAATTTTTTGCTATTACCATTCCCTATTTATCTGAAACTATTGAGGTAAGATAGGTTTCAGAGATCATAGATTTTCAGATTTTCCAAAACTAATACAGTGCATATAACCACAGATAATTTACTACCCCCAGCAATATTCTGGAGTGGCACTCCTGAATCAAGCACATTAATAATTCCACAAGAAATACATGCATATTTTCCAAAATGGGATAAACAACACCCACAACAGCCTGACATGAATTAAGATCTACTTTTGCCATCCCAAGAACTGAGATCAGGTCCAGTCTTGCAAACTGACAGTTAAAATGTTCTCTGGGTCTGGGGTTAAGAATTACACATTGTGGACCCGGATTACTTCTACAACTGCTGCCATTGTTTTTCTTCTATTCTCACAACTAGTATTCTAAGTAAAAACCAGTATTCCCATTTCACAGAGGGTGAACAAGAGGCTTAGGATGTTTATATAATTAGCCCAAGATCATGTGGCTTTTAAGTGGCCACATCATGCTTCAAACTCAAGTCAGCCTGTCTGCCCTTATCCATGATTAATATGCCCTTTCCTTGACATCTTTCTCCACCTCTTAATTTGAAAGCGGAACTAGGAGAAGAGGATATGGAGAAGAGGAGGAAAAGAGAACTAAAGACAGCAGATATCTCAGAAGGGGGTGGCACCCGTTCAGAAAAGGTCCAGAAGGTGATCAGTCACTTTTGTCTTCCATCGTGCAGAGCTCACACACGTGGCACCACCCCCCACCCCCCAGACACACACCCACGCAGGCCCCCTCACTTGCCCTTGTTCGCAGGCAGCCCCTCCTCCATCGCCCACACACGTGCAAGCACGCACCCCCACACAGGTCCTGCCCACGCACGCACCCACTAGGGCACCTCCCCCCCCTTGCCAATGCACTTGGGCCCCAAACCTTCCCACCTTTTCTCATTTGAGAACTTCCTTGGGCCACATTTATTCAGTGTATACTTAACAGCTGTTTTGCAGGCCCCTAAGCACAGTGAAGCTCATGTTACACTGAAAAGGATGTATCCTTGGTGAGGCTTTCGTCACAGAAACAGAAAAATCAATAATTTTTTCAATATTAGAAAGCCATTCGCCAACGTGAAAATTAAAAACAGAACAGCCAGGCAAAACACACTAGCTGGCAGGAGGCGACATTATCAAATGTCATTCTGTAAGTTTTCCTCTTGCATTATTACGATGTGTAAATAGAGATAAAACACATGCAGTAAGTGGCTGTCCATACAAAAAGTTGCCTAAACTCAAAATGAAAAGTTTTTAGTTCAAAAATTTCATTCTCACACATCTGCAAGGACTGTACCACAGCAAAAGCACAAGGTGACATGAAGACTAAAATCTGATTTCTGACAGCCCCACCTGGTGCCCCACTCTACTCTAGGTCATCTTCTCTCCGCTGGGAAACTCTAGGTTAGCTGCTCAAGGTGGAAACAGTAAAGGGCGTGGGAATTCCCAAATCGTTCTTGCCATTCCTGGGATGAGATCAGGAAGCTGAAACAATTGTCTAGTCACCTCACACTAGTAGGTCTATAGTATCGTGAAAAAAGAGCAAGACAGGACCAAGGCCAAAGAGTTTCATGGCACGGCCTTAGGTCACCAAAGCAATGATGGAGAGCAAACAGACATGAAGCCAGCCTGCTAATTCAGGAGGTGACCCTGGGCAAGTTATTTAGCTTCTGGAAGCCTCCATATCCTCATCTCTAGTTGGGCCTGGTGATAGCACTGACATCACCAGGTTCTAATGAAGATTTTATGACATGGCACCTGTAGGTCTCTTAACACAATGCCTGGTTAAAAGATATATATCGATCGATCAAGAATAGGACAAAAAAAATAACATAATTGTCTAATCCATTACCTTTGTATAAGGCCGCTGAATCTAAAAGCTCTTTCACCTGAATCTTCTCCATCTCAATCACTGCCACCTCTAAAAATTTAAGCATTACCTTGATTCTCTGCCTTTTCTCACAACGCACATCAAATCCTTTCACAGCCCTCTGGCGCCTAAACCCTATACACTGTGCCCTTCCATCTCAGAATTCAAGACAGCCTCACCTCTCCTCTGGCTTACTGAAATAAGCTCCTGCCTGACGACCTTCTTCCATCTTGCTCCCTATGGTCTCTTCACCACCCAGAGAGACTCAGCTGAGATCTTTTTAACGTTTTTATTTATTTTTTTGGGACAGAGAGAGACAGAGCATGAACGGGGGAGGGGCAGAGAGAGAGGGAGACACAGAATCGGAGACAGGCTCCAGGCTCCGAGCCATCAGCCCAGAGCCTGACGCGGGGCTCGAACCCACGGACCGTGAGATCGTGACCTGGCTGAAGTCGGACGCTTAACCGACTGCGCCACCCAGGCGCCCCTGAGATCTTTTTAAATGCTAATAAGATCATGTCTCTTCCTCAAAACCTTCCGGAGGCTTTTGAGTACACTTAGGACAACCCCACAATCACCGGCACCTGGGTTCCCCACTGACCCTCATCACCTGCCCTCTTCCCCTTCACCCTGTAAGTCCTTCCGCTCCGGGACCTTTGCCCCAGCTGTTCCCCATACCTGGAAAGCCCTTTCCTCGATCTTCCCACAGCACGTCCCTTCTCATCATTCAGGGTCACTTCAGCATTACTTTCTCAGACTTTTCAGTCTAGCCATCCTGTCACTTGCTATCACAGTGTCCTACTTTGATATTTTGATTTTCTGCATAACATTACCACCAGTCGGTATTTTCCTTGCACAGTGATCACCTCGTGTGTATTGATGGTCTTTCTTCCCCTACCTGGTCATTCACCTTCACTGCTACCTCAGGGCCTGACTTGCAGTAAATATTTGGCAAATAAATTCATTAATCTCTTAAGAACAAGAGGAAGTGGAAGGGCCATGTACTTAATTCCTCCTTATGACTTTCCCCTTGGAAAATAAATTAGTGTTCCTGCCACTTAAAGAACGGGGTGGGGGTGGGAGGCTGGACTCTGGGCCCTGCAAATCTAGACCCTAACCCTCTTCCCTACAGACGGAATATAATAGCTGTGGCAAAAGTGAGGCAACTTGAAACCCTCATATTCACTGTGGAGCTCCCACTGATACATGGCCCAGTCACCTCAAAAAAAGCTTGACTCGCCAGGCCCTGAAGTGATTCCGTGTGACTGTGACTGCGGAAGCACAGATTTACAGAGGGTTCCTGCTCGGAGGCTGACAGGTCAGACCCACTGACCAAATGATTCAGAGAGACTGCTTATGGTAAATAGGGACATGTATCGAGCTGAGGCCCAAGGAATGCCGATGGTCTCTCTGTTTGGGTCTTAAGAAAGGCCATCGGGCCTTCTAAAGCCCTTCCCGATTTCCATACAATGACTTGGAACACCGCACAGCTGTTTTTCCGCCAAGAAAACGAAAACAGGAAACCTGCGCTCCACAACTTCACACTGAGACTCGAAAGTAAACTTTCAATTTCATCAAACTTGCATTTCGTACATGGTAAACCTCAAGCAAACAGAATACTAAAAATACCACCTGTTTTCTCTTCCTCTCCCCAAGGTACCATAATTATATCTTGACACAGGAGGGAGAACTGACTTACCAGCTTCGATGCATTCCGGCTTCAGGCAGTACTCCTGTTTGGCTTGGAGACTTAAGAAACCTTGACTCACTGAAAAAACAGACCAAAATAAAGAAATGACTGGCTGGTAGCAGAGCACCATCAGGTAACCCACAGTCAGGCACATATGCTAGACACGTGATGTCAGTTCATCCTTCTGAGCATTGACACAGAATTGAAAAATCCACTTGGCTCATTATCTCAGGGCCAGACTCTGGTCACAAGCTAAGTAACCTTGGTGAGCCTCTTGGCTGCTCTGAAATTCGGTTCTCTGGAATATAAGATGAGGGGGTACAATTAGATCAGTGCTTCTCAGAGTGGGGTGTCCAGGCATCCACTGCCCCCCACCCCAGCTCTTTAGAAAGGCAAATTACTGAGCCCCACCTCTGACCTGAATCAGAAACTGTGCGGGTGGGGCCCAGCCATTTGCATTTTTGCAAGCCCCCCAGGTGATTGTGATGCAGGCTCAGGTGTGAGGGCCTCTGGGCTAGCTGATCTCTAAAGTCTCCTTCATCTCCAATTATCCGTGACTTAGGTCTCAGAATTTCACTCTTTTTGTTTAGAACTACATTCTCATTTTAGATGGAAAAAAAAGTGAAACTTACCAACCATACCATTAGGAGCAAATCCAGAGTGGAAGAAGAAAATTAGCATTTCAAGTTCTGAATCTTTTGTGAACTATCCATAGATCTGTGAAGGGGTTGGGGGAGTACACTGGATATTATTCAGCCATCTAGCTCAGCATAGCTATTGGACAGAGGCAGCATGTGGGCCAAGCTTCCGACTACTTCCACCAGAACAAAACAAAACCAAAACCCTGCGAGATGGAATTAGCTTTTCACCAATAGCTTAATTTCACCCATCTGGCTGGCAATATTATCTAAATGGATGTCTGCAGAAAGACAGAAGGGTGCCCTGTTTGTCAACTCCAGGCAGCACCTGGGCATTAGCAGATGGGGGTTTAGATTTCAAAAATATTCTTGGTAGCCAAGGAAGTTAAGGGGGGTTCATTACTGCTGTACTCTGTGAGCAGAAATAAGGAATCATTTGGAGATGTGACCGTGGGGAGATGGATGGTGGAGGGTGAAGGGTAGCCAAGGCTTTCTGTGGCATTGTCCACTGAGAAGCAGGATCAGAAAGCATAGCGGTACCGATATTTCTGCTAGAAATGGAAGACCTGTACATCTGTTGTCAGTGTGACGATTTGTATTCTTTATTAACCCACACTGTAAGAGGAGCCTGCTTTTTCTTTGTTCTTTGCTGCCATCCTCCAAACAGGCTTTTTACTGGTGATGCAATACAGATACAAGAAAACTGCCTATGGAACATCTCGGGCCTATTTTTAAGAAGTATCTTAGCATAATGGTGTGTTTTGATTTCTTTAAAGAGCAAAGAAAAGTTAGATAAAAATATAAATGTGCAGCATAAACATTAGTATGGAATATTTTCTTAGGACTGGGTGAGGGAACCATGGGGGACGTTTTCCCTTCAGTCTACTTCTATATGTTTACCAAATGTTCTTTGATGAGCCTGTGTTATTTTTTACAATGAGAAAATAAGCCTTATTATAAGCAACATTGTTATGATTACGAACAGTACCACCTTGATACTAGCCTTATCTTATTTGTTGAAAAAAAGCTAATGAGGGGCGCCTGGGTGGCGCAGTCGGTTAAGCATCCGACTTCAGCCAGGTCACGATCTCGCGGTCCGTGAGTTCGAGCCCCGCGTCGGGCTCTGGGCTGATGGCTCAGAGCCTGGAGCCTGTTTCCGATTCTGTGTCTCCCTCTCTCTCTGCCCCTCCCCCGTTCATGCTCTGTCTCTCTCTGTCCCAAAAATAAATAAACGTTGAAAAAAAAAATTAAAAAAAAAAAAAAAGCTAATGAAATGCTGTACTTAAAGAGTTACCACTTTCATGGAAAAGAATTCTTGACCCAAACCCTCTAAGGAAGCAGAACTAGGTATCTTTATCTGAATATGAGTAAAAGGGAGGTTTAAATTAAATTAATTGAGATGCAGACAGACCTCACCCCTCGAGGAAGAGCATTATATCTATGCAGGGTTGAGATCCCACAAATAAATAAGGATCAACAAACCCAGATAATGTGAGGGTGCAGGTGAGAGACATCAGGACAACAAGGAAAACATTTTTAATATAAAACATGATAGTGTTACTTTTTACTGGTTAGGTGCTTTAAAAAAAAATTTAAGAACAGTTTGGTTTCTCATTTTAGATTTTTCTGTAACCAGTGGAAATGACCTCAGAATGCAGTGGAGTCATCCACATATCGGCAGCATGAGAAGAACCATAAAGCGGGGGCTCAGCATACTATGGTCCATGGGGCCAAGTCCAGTCTCCTGCCAGTTTCTGTACAGCCTGTGAGCTAAAAATGATTTTTATGTGTTTTAATGATTGGAAAAAACCACAAGAAGAATATTTCATAAAATGATCTGAAATTCAAATTTCAATGTTCAGAAATCAAATTATATCAGAACACAGTCATGCGCATTTGTGTACACATTTGTCCGCGGTCGCTTTCTTGCCACGACAGGGTCAAGTAGCAGCAACAGAGACTGTACGGCCCAGAAAGCTGAAAACATTTATTATCTGACCCTTTCCAGAAAAAGTTTGCCCACCATTGCATTTGAGAAAGAGACTGTGGGGATGAAGAGGTGAGGGAGGAGGAAAAGAAAGGACACTTTAAAATAAACTGATTATTGGCATATGGTTATACCTGTTGTTTTAAATTCTATTGCTGTAGCTTCTCTGAGACCACCCCAAGGCCAGTGGCAGTCGCTCTTACTGTGGAAGGACTAAGATTTAGGGAAGAGATTAGCCCAGAACCTAAAATGCAAAGAGGGATGCTAGAAATTGCAGGCCTGTGCCTGAAATTGAACAGACAGAAAAAATATCAACCAGCAAGCACCTTGAGGAGAAGAGGACTTAACCAGAATATTGTCACACAGAGCATTGCCTTTCAGGTCCCTAGATATTTTTAGACGAGGACTTCACTAGGTGCAGGGTGGAGGTGGCTGGCAGAGCCTGGGGGACTAGGCAGTAAAGAAGGGTCTGGCTGAAGGAAGGCTGAAACAGTGCAGAGATGTTTGACAAAAGCTACTAAAGAATGTGCATTTATCTTAAAGCAAATATCCCCAAATGTATACATCCAAATGGACGTGGTCAGCTAAAGCAATGCTTCTCAAACTTTAATTTGCAAATGAATCGCCTGGAGATCTTATGAAAACACAGATTCTGAATTAGTGGGTCTTGGGCTGAAGCGCGGGCTCCCAAATGGTACTGATGCTGCTGGTCCATGGACCGCACTGAGTAGTGAGGGTGTCGGGAGGCCACACCTTTATTCTCTAACATCATTCAGACTGCTCTTAGAAATCTGCAGTAAGAGCCAGGTTACTGGGCACACTGCAAAGTTATTTTTTTTTCTGCTTTATGCAGGCCTCCTTACCCATAATATCATTGCCTGGCTTCATGAACTTTACTATGCTCTAAAACCTTTAGAGCTGTTTCCAAAGAATCATCTCCTCTTAAAGAACAAAGATTGGCTGCCATGGAGAATATTCCAACTAATATGGAACAGCCTCAGAATGTAATCATAATGGTGGAATTTCAAAATGCTCAAGCAATAGTAACATCGTTAAAAACAGCACATATTTTTCAATAAGCAATCATCATTGGGATTTTTGAGTGTAGGAGTGTTCACAAAACACAAATAGTCTAACTTTGCACTCACTTCCCACATCCTATGTAGTCCCTTGGCATGCCTGTATCATTTTTCCTCCTGTTTGTACTTCAGAGTAGGACACATCTAAATCCCAAGTGCCGAGAAATCTCAGAAAAGTGTTTGAGAGCCACAAATTCAGTTGCAGGAGTAGGAGGTTAGCTGTATATTGAAAGCAATAAACCTATCTAATTTCCTAAATCTTCAGCCACAGAAAACATGGAAAGGTCGTTGGCTGCTTTTAGCAGAGTTTTCAACCACACAACCCTAACTATTTTAAAGTTTAATCACTGATTTCCCTTGCCAAAACAAACATGGCCTCCTGAAACCTGTACAAGCCAAAGAATGTTTCCAGGCTTGCTGTATTTCAGACTGCACCTAAACTCTCCTAAATATAGGGCTTGTTCCTATATACCTTTCAAGCTAATGAAATAGTATGGGCTGTATGACAAAAACACAAAGGGTAATAATCAAGGGCTCAAAATGCCTACAATTTTAGAACACCTGTGTCCCCTTTCCAAGACATTTCATTCTTATTCATAGGAATGTGCTTTTCATCACATATGCTCTCTGGGTACATCATTCTCACCAAGAGTCATTACAATAATTGAATCCCAGTACCTTTCAAATGCTGGAAGGAAAACCTCTGTTTTCCTTCATATTAATTTTTAAATCTACTAGAAAGGCAGAGTTAACATTTCATCCCACCAGAGTCACTGGATTAGAAAGGCACTGAAGAATATCATCAAGGTTCATGTTTAAAGACTGCTTTGTATTTTTTTTTTTTTTAGTTAAATTTCATGATTCGTTCAGGCAAACATTAACAAAAATCAAAGGGGCAAAAAATTCCAGCATGGTTTTGATCACAATGTAAAAGTCTCTCCTCACAAAATAAATGAAAGTATCTGACTATGAAATCACAAACATTCATTCTGCTAAATATAAAATGTAACGCGTAAAGAAAATGTTTGCCCAGTACGACCGAATCCTCCAGCCACCGGAAGCCACTTTATACCCATTTCACATTATGGACTATATGCCTCGTGCTTAGGCGTATTTATTCATTCCGCGTCCTAAAGAAAAGGCCCCTTTCGCACTTGCATATTTAATAGAAGCTAAGGCCACACCACCTACTAACACGTGCAAGCGGCCCCCCACCCCCCCCCCGCCTGCATCCTGACAAGGTTTGCCAGGATAAAGCACAAGGACACTTAACTGCACTCGCCCTGTTCCCTGGCCTCACCGCCCCACTTACCTAGAAAGAGGATCGTGCCCAGCACCAGAGTGCCACCAATGAACACAACCAGGGCGATTCGAGTACCTCTGTTGGCTGTTTTTGCAGGCTCCGTGCTGCTCCCCATTTCTGCTTCCATCAGGAGGGACGTAGAGGCCACGGGAAGAGAAAGTCACTTTTTGTGGTTTGGTGGCTGGTCTCAAGAACCTGTGAGGCGTTGACATCCAAGGTTCTCTTGCTCTTCTACTAAAAGACAGCTTTAAAAAATCCCGTCAGAAAATCTTCCCTCGCCACCCTTTCTCAAATATTTCTTCACAAATGAAATAAAAGAAACCCAAAATATTGGTTGCCTTGGCTTTCCCCCTGACCAGACAAAACAAACAGTGGTTGCTTTATCTTGGGGCTCTCCCCCCAGCAAAGTCCCTCTCAACCGATTGTTTGGCAGGCTCTTCTCTCAGGCGTTCTGAGTGTACATGTTTTACTATGCTGCTGAACAGATGTTTTAGCTATTTAAATGTATAGTCACTTGGGGAGGAAAAAACAATTGTCTTTATCAAAACTGGATTCTCATCAAACTCTTCCAAACCATGATAAGTTAGGTGGCAAGGATTCTCCGGACCCACTTTAAGGTCTCAATGAATCACGTAATTCTTTTGCAATAATCATTCTGCTCGCCTGAATTGTCTCCATCAAAGATATTGTTTCTGTGTGCAAGTCCCTTTTTAAAGCCCTCTAAGAGTTCCTGGGATATCCTGGAGCATTTTATTTTAGGAACTTTGTGTATGACGGCATGTACCAAAAATCAGAGTCACAGTCCAGTGCAGTGCAAAGTAGCAATTAAGACAACCTACGGAGGCTGATGGTTTTGACTGGAATTTTTTTTAAGGAAAAGGAAAAAGCATTTCCTCTCTGTGGTGCTAGGAATTGTACAGAACACGGGTAAGTGATCGAATTCGGCTTATTAGCAACCACAGAAGAGATGGTAAAAGATTTTTTCTTCCCTGCATGTTTTGATGGAAAGTGCCCCCAGGTATTTTGTCCTCCAGTCCCACGGAGGGAGCCATTGGTTCATAGTTTTGTGTTTACATAAAATGCCCATTTCAGCAGATTCTGCAGGATAAAATCAAAGGCAATTTGTCTCTCTGGAAAGACTGAGTTAATGACTGGGTCTTTGATTTCTTTAATTATGCTAACAATTTAAATTATGACAATCTGCTTTCTTCATGGGGAAGGGCAACTGAGATCCCAATGCTATTGAAATGATACCGATTTTATTATCCAGTGATACAAATATCATTAATTCTCAACACAATTACTACTTATCTGCTTTTGTTTCACTATAGGTCACAGTGGGGGTGGGGGTGGGGGTGGAGGCTCAGTCTGAAAACCAGTAGAGCACAGTTCTCATGCAAAACTTGTGCCCATGGCCTTGTGTGTCACACCAGAGCTAGCAGACGCTGGTGAGCCCAGTATAACATGGCCACGTGTTCATGGTCCTATCCGGCTGGTCTTGGTCAGGTCTTAGATCCTTAGCATGGGATTCTTCTCAGGTTTATTCCAAAGCACATCCTACCTTACTTTCTGCTCATTTCATGTTGCTCCAAAGCCAGAAAAGCATAAGCGTTTGTCCAAATTATGACATCACAGTATATTGTAGATATTATGTGCTCATTAGCTGTTGATGTTATTTTGTTGCTGTTACACCATACACATCTTAGCAGGCCTTTAGCTCCTAGGATGGGATTCTCAGAAGAGTTTTTGGACTTGACTCCATAGTACTTCTTAAGACTGTGAACTCCATGAAGTCAGGAATCATGTCCATCAAGTTCAATGCTACAGCCCCAGCACCTACAGCCCATGGCCCATTGCAGTGAAGGGAGAAATAAGAACAAGGAAAATCAGGCAAGTTAGCTCCAGACATTCACTCTTAAAAAGCAGCTTCAGGAAACTCAGATGTTAGTGTCTGGGGGTCTCTCAGGCTCCCAATTCCTTCTAAATGCTCAAATGATAACGATACATCACCTAGGTGTAGCACTTTCATATCCCATTTTAACTTCATGGTAAACTTACGTGCTTGATGGCAAAGGTATTTTTTTTTTATCTCTGGTTTGCAAATGACAACACTGAGACCCAAGGACCAGCCTCAAGCAGCATAGCAAACTCAGGAAAGGGAAAGCTGGGGAGAGAGGATCAGTGCCATACACTGTTTGCTGCTTGAGAGACGTCCCTGTGCACGTGGGAGAGGCCATACACACAAACGTGACACCAGGACCCACCTCTTCCAGCTTTCCTTTCTTCTCTAAGTCTCCTCACACCTTCTGGGTCCAGACTAGCATGCAGTGGTGGCTGCTGGTTGCTGGCTGGGGTAGCCTTCACCTACCTTGGAATGGTGATTTCCCCAGAGGTGAGGGCAATGGGGACTTACCCTGATCTACACCTATCCATCACTTAACCACATGAAATCATTCCTGAACTCTCAATTGCAAAGTGAAAAGCCATTAAACCAAAAAATACTTCCATTAATTGTAATAGGAAAACTACGATGCAGTCCATCCCAAACTAAGATATGCAAATGCAGAAAGAAAATGTATTAACTCAACAATGAAAACAAGCCTATAAAAGTAATCACTTTTGCGGTGTTGAAAATAAATACAGTTTGTTCATGTAATGCAAGAAATGAAGTTTTATTTTACTCACCAAAGGAATAAGGAAGACTTGAGAGTGGGTGAGGATTGGTAGGAGAAATGGTGCCAGTGAATCACCCATTAGAAGGTGCAGTCTTCATTCTGTGCCATTTTCTGCATTAATTTTTCTACCTTCTGGGAGAGGTCAATTATCTTTCACTCAAACTACATTGAAAAACACATTTGTAGCACAGACGGGGTGCCTGGCTGGCTCAGTCAGTGGAGCTTGCTACTCATGATCTCAGGGTTGTGGGTTCAAGCCCCGCATTGGGTATAGAAATTACTTTTTAAAAAATCTTAAAGAGAAAAGAAAAAAGTTGTAGCTCAGAAAAAAATTATGGCAAAATAAAGACGTTCAAAGTACAGAGAAATATAATGAGTGCTTACAAGAGACAAAAGCAAGGGTTTGCAATCTAGGGCACATGGGCCAAATCGGGCCCATTGCCTATTTTTGTAAATAAAGTTTTATTGAAACAAAGTCACCCCCATTCAGTTACATACTGTCTACGATGGCTTTCATGCTACAAGGTCAGAGTTGAGTCGCTCTGCAACACAGATATGACCCATGAAGCTTATTTACTCTCTGGCCCTTTACGGAAACCATGGACTAAAGAGCAATAGAAGATACTACCTACGTGGCACACATACAGAAAGCAGAATGTTCACTCGCACTCAGCCGGCTTCTCAAAACCGTTCCATTTGATGTTCTCTGAATACAAGCTGTCGTGTTAGGGAAATTGGTCAATGTGTCTTTGTCTAAAACTGTATTAAAACTATGGCATATTACTTAGTGTGTTTTGGGGTAGAGTGTCATACTGGGATAAAAAAGGAGGATGTCAAAAAATTTTATAATTTCTCAAGAGCTGTGAAAATTAGTTAACTGAAAAGTCACTCTGCAGGGAAGTCCGCTTAATAATCTGGTGTGCACCCACTCAATTGTTTCAATTAAGAACCTTCAGGATCGGGGCACCTGGGTGGCTCAGTCAGTTGAGCGTCTGACCCCTGATTTCAGCTCAGGTCATGATCCCAGGGTCATGGGTTCCAGCCCTGTGTTGAGTATACAGCCTGCTTAAGATTCTCTCTCTCTCCTTCTGCCCCTCTCCTCCGCTCACAGAAGTTGTCTCTCTAAAATACATACATACATACATACATAAATACATAAATCTAAAAAAATATTTTTTTTTTTAATTTTTTTTCAACGTTTATTTATTTTTGGGACAGAGAGAGACAGAGCGTGAACAGGGGAGGGGCAGAGAGAGAGAGGGAGACACAGAATCGGAAACAGGCTCCAGGCTCTGAGCCATCAGCCCAGAGCCCGACGCGGGGCTCGAACCCACGGACCGTGAGATCGTGACCTGGCTGAAGTCGGACGCTCAACCGACTGCGCCACCCAGGCACCCCTAAAAAAATATTTTTAAAAGAACATCCAGGACTATCTGGAGCTTTAACTAGAATCGGTCAATGGAATCAGCAGAAATTTCTTGAGCATTTCTCAGGTGCCTGGCCCCGTACAAGGCCCTGTGAGGGAAGACAAAGAAGCCATGCCAGAGATTCCAGACTGGCAAACTGGGCTCAGTCACAAAAATATGCAAAACCCTTGGCAACTTAGTCACAGAACACTAAAGGCCAACAAGTGTCCAGGGAAGTAGAAATCCCTGAAGGCCAGATTTGTTGGGGAGACTTCCAGGGGGACCCGCAAAAACGGACAGCTTGAGGGGAAAGAAAGGCTTCCAGACAGGCCAAAGCCCGCCCCAACATGGGACTTGCCTGGGCATTTACATCTCTCCCCGCCGGACTCACAGGTAAGATCATTTATCCAGAAGTAAGTGAATCCCGCAACCTGTGCCCTGCCTCAGTGGCCAGGAGGACAACTGAAGCTGAGTCTTTATGCTAGACGAGCGCATCTGCTCGTTACTTGGCTGTGCGGGGTCTTCTGTTTCAGGCAGTAAAATCCCATGTGAGCTGCAATTTCAGTGAGGAAGAAGGAAATTCAAAACCTGAAAAATGTATTCATCCATCCCCTGGAAGGAGGAGGGAGAGAGGGAGGGAAGAAAGAGAAAGAAGAGCTAAATGCCGAAAACTCGAGAGCTGAGGGCTGTGGCGGAGCTCTGTTACTTGTTGGCAGGTCCTTCAGACTAGGGAGGGTTCCAGTCCCAGGCCTTCCACCAATGAGACTCATTACTTACATTATCTCTGATCTTTTTCAACATCTTTCTTAGCTAGGTGTTCTGTCTCCTTTTACAGATGAGGAAACTGAAGTTCGGAGCTATTAAGTGATTTGCCCAAGGTCACACAGCAGGTATTTGTCTCAAGGCCTGAGAGGTTTCAAATTCCAACCTTTTCTCTCTGCCCTGTTACTTGATAAATTTGCTTATCTACCTCAAGTAATTAGTGAAGGTGGGTGTAGCATGTCAAAATGACTCTTGAGACCTAGAAAAAGCGATAAACTATGCCT